TAGTCACTAATACATGGGGGAGGGGGGCGCTGGCGAAAGAGCCGCTGCTTGGTTCCCATCAGCGGAGGATCAAAAAGCATTTGGTCAAAGAACCTTTAAATACCTTGAAAGGCAGGTGAAGCCTGTTCAATAGCCTCCTAGAGGGATTGAAATGCTGGTCTGAGCTGCCGGCTAGCTGGCTCCAGCCACTGCCACCGCTGGGGGAGGGGAGCTGGGGTGGGGGGTGCTCCCAGCCCACGGGCGCCATCACCCAGGAATCACTGGGGAGGGCAGAACTGGGCTCAGGGACAGAACTGGAAGGACCGTATAGACGTCTGTGTCAGGGGGTTTTCTCTGCACACTGCACCCCCCTCCCCATTGTGGACACAAAGCACTGTTTGTGAAGATGCGTTTTTCTGAGGACACGTGTCCATGAGCTTATTGCATTGCCGAAAGAGTCGATATCAAATCAGGATGAAAAACCAACAGCCTTGTGGTACAGAGTGGTAAACTGAGGCTCGGAAGGATGGACTGATTTACCCCAGGTCAGTCAGCTTGTAACCTGCCAGCCCAGCTGCCTCCACAATGCATCCTGATAAGGGCCCCCATCCTTCTCAGGATCCCGGAGTTGCGGGAGGCTGAGAGGTCAGGGGTGTCTGGAAACAGAAGCCTAAGGCCAAGATTCTGACAAGGATGTCCGGAGAGAGGCTGGCCAGGAGAGGGGGCACCGGCTTTCATCATTTGGGGTGACAAGGGGTCACCAGGGTAACCCTGGAGAGAGAGATCTGGGGTGGGGTGGGGGCCAAATTACAGGGAGAAAGAATCGGGGTGGGAGTGGGGAGGGGCTTCCCAAAAGGGAGCCTTAGGACAGGAACGGGGTTCAGAGCTGTGGAAAGTGAGCTTGAATCCAGGTCGCGGTGTCTGGAGTCACCCCCCAATCCTGGCTTGCCATCTCCCCAGTATGTTCTCACCCAACTGGTGCCACTATTTGCCCTATTTTGGGGGCGAGCAAACAGAGGCCCAGAGACACAATAACACACAGTAACACACTAGAGACACAGTAACACACTAGAAAGCCGGACAACTAGAGTCAGAAGCAGGATCCGAGTTTAAGTGTAAAATTCTTGGTGGCTGCTGTGGGCCAGACGCCGCCTCCTTGGTAGCAGCAGCGTGTGGTAGAAGCGCCACGACATTTGTGGTCACGAGATCGGAAGAGGGGGTATCTGACCAGCAAGCACTGGTTCAGTCTCCATTAGCGACCGGGGGTGGGGAGGGCCACAGCGATGGCAGCCGCTGCCTTCCAGGAGTTTGCTGTCCCCTTCTTTCTGGGGAGATGAAGTCTGTTAATTTTACGCTTTTCCCTTTTCAAACTCTTGGCCTCCGCAGAGGAGGGAGGGGAGCCCAGGGGAGGTGGGTAGCTGCAGGGACAGGATGCTCCAGCAGGTCCAGGCTTTCCAGCCACCTCTGGCTGCTCTCTGAGCCTGTCCCTGTTCAGCCCAGTCTTGCCACATGGACGGTGGTGAGGAGAGAGGTGTGTTTGTTGTCACGTGAGCGGCACAAACAGCTTCCTCAGCATTTTTATTAATAATTCAGCCTGTGGCCAAGGGGGTGGGGTAGGGGGGACAGGAGCTGTGGAGAGAAGTAGCAGCAGAGACCAGTCCAGGTAGAGGCCAGCAGGGAACCCAGGAGCCCTGCCTCCCAGCCGTGGCCTAGCAACAAAGCCCAGTGGCCTCAGGGGCCCTGTTTAGGAGAGTGCAGGCCTGGCATCTGCTCCTGAGGGACAGAACGTCCCTCCCTGCTTCTCATCCCTCCCCTACCCGGCCCAGGACACCTGGGCCCTGATGACAGCACCAGAGCGGAAACAGGCCTGAGGGGTCCGCAGCACGCAGTGTGGCAGTCCTGGGGGAGATAGTCCTGCCAGCATTTCCTGCCACGTCATGGAACCCATAACACAGAGGCCAGCAGCATCATGGAATGAGAGGACCTCTGTGGGCCCGCCTCTACTAGAGGCCAGAGGGGAGAGGCAGAACCCCCAAGACTCAGGCCATCACCTGCTTGCCAGGGCAGGACCGGGGGACAGACCAAGGGTAACTCCCACCCTCTGAACTTTCTCGGGGGCCTGCTAACTTCCACAGACTCCGCCTCCTGCCCAGTCCTCCCCAAGTGTGTGGGAGACAGAACTCACAGTTAGCCTGGTTCTCACTGGTGCTCCAGCAAAAGAGAGTAGCCTTTGAGTGCAGCAGGGTGATTCCAGGTTAGACACCTGGAAGAACTTCCTTGACAGACAAACAGGGGAATGGAGAGTGTGGCATCTCTGTCCAGGATAAACAAGTAGCAATAATGGCATTTACTATCAAGAAGAAGTTCTGTGCTCCAAGTACCATTTCAAATGCTTTAATTGCATCATCTCATAGGTCTTCAGAGTCAAAGGAAGCAGGAAAAGCCACCCAAGATTCCCGATGCCCCGATGACCTTGGGTTCCACAACCTTATCTCAGGGGGCTTGTCCAGCTCCGACATCCTAGAACATTGTCCAAACCCTGCTGGGAAAAAATGAGATGGGGAGTTTTACTTTCTCGCAAGGAACAGGCTGTGAGCTCCTGGGTGGGACCAAGCGTGGGTCCTGTCGTGAATCTCACCACAGATGGCAAAAAACTGGGAGTCAGGACCGAGACTCCCTCGTCAAGTCCCTGTGCCGTTAGCTCTGGGGCCCTTTACTTCATGAGTGAGTTCCTGTCTTGCTAGAAGCCTCCAGCTCCTGTCACCGGAAGGGTGGCCTGGATCATCTCTCAGATTTCCTGCAGACCCTGAAAACTCCAAGATTCTAGATGCTATAAAGACCTGTTGAGCTGCATGGATGGATCTGCTGTCCCCTCCTGGATTCTCAGGTTGATGGGTGGGGGGACTCCTGAATGGGAAACCTTTTTTGGGTGGTGCCCACTGATGAGTGGGCTGGGGGGGGGTGTCACAGGGTGGGAACAGGAATATGTGCACTTATTTGCTCTTTCTCACAGCAGTGAGAGAGGCAGCTGGGGGAGGGATTGGAATCTGCCAAGGCTGGAGACCCTGAGTCCCAGCTTGTTGGCTGGGTTTTCTGGGTTTGCTAAAAAACAAGCATGCAGTAGCTCCTGGATCTTGGCTGTGTGCAGGGGAGATGACGGCGGCTGTGGAACATAGGGCCATCCATGACCAGGGGATGCGGGCTGAGATTTCTGGCCACTGAGGAATTGTGGGCTAGAAACTACAGATGCCTCTTTCCTTCCATTTTTAATTAGAACATTCAATCCAAGGAAATCTGTTCTCCACCGGAACCATCTTCACGGAGGTTTGCTTGGGGGAATTTCCTTATCTGTTTCTCAACCAGAAAAGCTGTGGGTGGAGGTGTATGTGTATGCCTGTGTGTGTGTGATAGGCTCCATGTGAGTTCAAGGGGCTGGGGGGTGTGTGTGTGTGTGTTTGTGTGTGTGTGTGTGTCTGTGTGTATTGGGGGAGACTTGACACAGAGGTGTCCCTGCGGGTGCTGGCTGACTACTGAACCAGTGGGGGTGTGGCTGTGCAGTATAAAGTCAGTTCAGTGGATTTCTCTGGTGCAAGGAGGCATCCTTGACTCTGGAGGATCTGGCTTACCTTCAAGATGCATCCTTGACTCTGGCTTACCTTCAAGCTGCATCCTCTGTAGGAGGGGAGGGACCAGGATGCTGTGGCATGCCCAGGGATTTTGTCCTTTTGCCACCCCCTTCAGTCCGGGGCAAGGACAGGCCTGTACTGTGGACACCTCCATGTCTGTATCTGCCATGGTGTGTTTGTGTGCCACCGTGTGTGTCTGTGTGTGCGTGTGCGGGTGGGGGTGGTGGTGGTGGCGGTGGGTGTAGCTGATTGTAGGTGTGTGCGGGGAGTTCTCTACACCTGAGACCACCAAGGGTTACAGGCTTCTAAAATCCTGGGGAGAAGGGCCCCTTCTCCCTGCCCCAGAATCAAGCAGTACAATTCTATAGAAAAGGAACTGCGGTTCACCTCATTTGTACTGTGCTGAGCAGACAAAGGGGCAAAGAGGGCCAAAAGAGCCCCAGGGTTGGAAGGGAAAGAAGAACTTCCAACCCCCTGAAGTGCTCCTAGCAAGGAAGAGGGGGTGTGGGGGTGCGGTGGAGGGTCGGTGCGGAGAGGGACGAACAGAGGCTGAAAGGTCTGTTCTCCTCTTTCGTGGGGCTGCGTTAAGCGGGCACGGTTATTAGTCCCCACCGAGGGTGGAGAGTCTTCTGGCTGCAGTCGCGTGCAAGCTCGCGGGATGGCCGGAGTGGCGGGCCCAGGCTCAGCGCTGGCACCCAGATCCACTCCTGGTTTTCGCACACGCCGGCCTGTCTTCCCGGGACCGCCGCGCGGTCGAGCCGGGAGCTGACGCCCTCCCGCCGCCGCCACGCGGAAGACCCGGAGTGGATTTCCACGCGTGGGGAACGGAGTCAAAGGGCCCCTCGGAGGCGGCGGCGGGCCGCGCGGCCCTGCGGGGTGCGAAGCCGCGGCCGGGCGGGGGGCGCGCGCGGCCGGCGGGGCCCGCAGGCCCCGAGAGGCGAGGCCGGGGCTCGGCGCCCTCCGCGCGGGGGCGGGCGGGGCGCGGGGCGGCGGTGCCCTCGGGGCGGCCCGGGGGGCGGGCCGGCCGCAGAGCGGGGCGCGGCCGGCAGGGGGCAGCAGCGGGCGGGGCGCGGCGGCCGCGGAGCTCGGCGGCGGCGGGCGGCGGGCGGCGCCGGCGGTGCCCCGGGCGCGCTCGCACACGCGCTCACACACACATACACACGGCCTCGTACACACTCACACACGCTCCGGCGCGCACCCGCGACGCGCGGCCGGAGGAGGCGGCTGGCGGCGCGGCGCGGCGCTCGCGGGCGGGCGGCAGGGCGGGCGGGCGGCCCCCGCTCCGGCTCGGCGCTCGGTGCAGCCGCGGCCCCCGCCCTCGGACCCGCCCCCGGGGGCGCCGGCCCCATGTCCTGCCGCCGCGGCGGAGCAGCGCGCGGCCGCGGGCGGCTCTGAGGAGCCGGGAGGGAGCCGCGAGAGGAGACCATGTACCGGGACCCGCAGGCGGCCAGCCCAGGTAAGCGCGGCCCGCGGCGGGGCGCCCGCCCCGGCGGGCAGGACGGCGGCAGCGCGGGCGCCGTCTCGGAGCCCGGCCCGGGCCGCCGCGCGCCGCAGCCGCGCCGACGCCCCCGGGGTCACCCCGGCCGGGGCGCGGGCGCGGGCGCACCCACTCGGGCCCCCGCGGTCGGGGCGCCGCCAGGCTGCCGCCCGGCGCCGGCCTCGCCGTGTCCCCGCAAGGACCCCCCCCCCCGCAGCCCAAGGACAGCGCGCGGCGGGGCGAGCAGCGCGGCCCCCCGCGGGCGCCCGGCGCTGCCCTCCGAGGTATCCCCGGGTCCCCGGCACCCGTCCCCGCGGGTGCCAGCGCCGAGGGACCCCAGGGCGAGGAGCCCGGGCGGCTTTGGCCGAGGTTGTGGGCGCCGGGGAGCGGAGTGACAGAGGCGGTGCCGGCCGTGGAAGGAGAGGGGGCCAGGCCCGGGGGATCTGGTGCAGCCGCAGGGGAGGGGGCCGCGGGGGGCGGGGAGCCGCAGGGGCGCTGAGGGGAGAGGCAGGAGTACCTGGGGAAAGAGCGGAGACTGGCGAGAAGGGGGTGCTGGGGAAATGTTCTCCTAGGCTTGGGGAGGGGGGAAGCAAAGAACCCCAAACTCACTCCGGTCCTGGGGGAGGGGGAGGGGCTGCACCCCTTTGCATAGCTCCTGGGGAGTGGCCCGGAGCCCACCCTTCTGCTTGGCCTCTTGGAAGCCAAGCCGGGGAGTCTTTCCTCCTTCCCATTCCGCCTTCCTCGGGAAATTGCTCTGCCATTTCCTCCCGGGCTGCCCACACCTCCTCACACAGTGCCCACCTGTAGGCAGGTCCCCTGCAGCTCCTGCCCGGGCTCAGTCTCAGCTCCACCTGGGGAGCCCCACCCCAGGCCCAGCAGCCCCAGTGTTTCGGTTCTGGCATTAGGGTCTCCACTTCGGGGTTTCTCTTTGACGCTAAAAGCATGACACCCCAGCCTGAGGACTTGCCACTACATGAAGAGCCTCCTGGCTTACTGCTGCCCACCTCCTCAGGGTGGGGGCCCTGGGGGGCAGCTCTAAGGCCCTCTACAGAAGGGACCTAGCGCCCCAAGGCTTTGGAGAGAAGTCCAGTGGGCGCTGGTGTGGCCAGCTCTTGCCCCAGCCCCACATTTGCTCTTTGTCTCTGGGACCGCCGCAGCCTGTCCCTGCCTTGGGAAGAGTGTTCCCACCCCCATGCGCTCCTTGCAGCCCAGGCAGATTGAGGAGGACCTACTGGGTGCCAGGCACGGCGCTCACTCAGCACTTGGGTACAAGGGGGAAAAGGACTCGGTCTTCCTCTCGCGCCTCAGTCCCCTCTGCGAATGTCCTGTGGGTAGTAACTGAAGGGACATGTTCTCTGGAGACCCCTTCGTCTGTCCCGACCCAGGTCCGCCACCCTGTCGTCTTCCCCAGGAGGCTGCCAGCTTCCAGCGCTTGGACCAAGGGCAGAAGCATTCTTACTTGTAACAGTAAGCCACTAGCTTACTCGGAAGCCACTAGCTTAGTTCAGAGACCAGCTCTTGGGTGCCAGGCTGGAAGGGGGGATGCAGATTAGCAGCTTCCCCTTTCCTCTGAGGCCCTGGGCCTGGGCCCTGTCCTCTTTCCCCGCCCCTCCCTGTCATTCCTCCCACGCCTGGGCACCACGGCCTCACCACTCCTCCCAGCACCGCTGCCCTCTCCACGGAGGCCAACGGGATGTGCCTGGCATCGTCTGGGCAGAGGGCCTGAAAGCCAGTGCTGCCCCCAGCATCCTGGCACCCCCAGACCTTTCCCTCTCCCCCATCCTCAATGAGTTCCCCTGTACGGGGCAGAGCCCGGTCTTGCCCTGCTGGTGGTCGGGCAGCCAGAGAGCCAGGAGGCCTGAGGTTGACCTCTCTCAGGTGTGGGCTCTGCTCTGAGGCACAGGCTGGAGAGGACAGCATCTGCTTTTGATCCTAGTCCCCCGGGGTGCTCAGTCTGACTTCTGTCCCCCCTGGCATCCCTGCCAACCTCACATAATCCCTCTAGTTCCAGGCCAGAGTTCCCCTCCCTCCCCAGCTTACCCCAGGCCCCCCAGACTCTGCTCCTCTGGCCAGAGCTGTGGGTACCCCATCTTTATGTCCCCTCTGCTCTTTGCCTGGCACTGGGAGGGAGGGAGATATTCAAATTAATTCCCTCCGCTCCCACAGGAGCCTGGACCTTTTATGTCTTGATCCCCTCATCCCGTTCCCAGGAACACCTGCGGCCCAATCCTTTTAAAAATCTTAATCTCCTGTGTTCTCCTGTGCCCCATGTCCCAGGCTGGCTCCAGAGGGTCCCTGTGGCATATCCTCCCTCATCCCACTCACTCAGCAAGTCCCCACAGGCCTCAGCCTCCTGCAGAGTGCCTGGCCCTGACAGATGCCATTCCCTCCCCACGTGGGCCCCTGGCCCCGGGGCAGTTCTCTCCCTGATCCATCATGGCTAAAGCAAGGGACTGTGGGAAAAAGCCAGCGCCCAGTAACGAACGAAGACCAGCCCCCCTCCTACACACCCCCATGGGCTTTTGCTCCAAACTCTGCGCGGCCTCCCCCAACCGTACCGGCAGCCTCCCCTCTGCCCCTTCCGAGGACTTGCAGCCCTCGGCCCCTGGCTGTTCAGTCTCAAGCTGGCCTGACCAGGCCTTCCTGTGTCCCTCAGGCCAGCCCGGCATCCCGGGCCGGGCATGGCCTCAGCAGGCCTGCAGGGGTCAGCGTTGCAGTGGGCAGGCTGGAAGGCAGCAGGGAGGGAGGAGGGAGAGGTGACCTTGCGGTGAGCTAGTGAGCAAGGCCAGCGAGGGAAGGAGCTCCCGGGAGGGAGGTCAGGTCCTGAGGGTGCCTGGCCTGCCCTCCAGGCCTCTGTGCTGGTCCCCCGGGTAGCAGTGCTTGAAGCCTCGTCTCACCTGTTAGTGAGCTCTGTCCCCGAGAGCAACTCCGCCCAGCAAGGGATCCCTCGGGGACAGACGCTGGGGTAGGGGACCTCGGCAAGGTGGGTCTCAGAAGGATCCAGGGGCAGAGGCTGTTGGGTGATGTGAGGGGCGGGAATTAGGGGTACAGCTGTAAGTGTAGATCGGGGGTGTTCTGTGAGGGCCGTGGGGTAAGGAACCAGGCCTGAGGGTGTGGGATGTTCCCAGGAGATCTGACACTGTATGGCCATTTCGTTGACAAATCCCTCCCCACCCGGCACCCCCACCTGCCAGGCTGCTTGGGCCCAGACCTCCCTGGCCTGCATCTTGGGTCAGAGTCCCCCAGAGTCCTGGATGGAAGATCAAGCGCTCTCCCACAGGCCATGGCCTGGAGGGGACCCAAGCTGCTGTGAAGCTGGGGCCAGGACAGCCAGTGCCCCCCAGCCCTGGATTACCATGGAGATGGAGCACTCCTTGGCCTGGGGTCGAGCTATTCAGTGGTCTGGTGGGGACAACTTGACCGAGGGGCTGGGTGCTCAAGGACCAGGGGATGGTGGGAAAGGAGAGAGCCTGAAAGCCCCCCTTGTGCAGGAAAGGGAGCTAGAGCTGACTGGCTTGGGGTGGGAACACAGGCCTGCAGGTGACAGGCAGGGGCAGCTGGAATGTAGGTGAACAGGTGGGTGTCAGGTGGGCAAAAACAGACCCTGGGCAGCTGGGTCCTCCTCCTGGCTGGCCCCAGGCCTGAGGGGCGCTGAAGGCCCACCGGGCCAGGGGATGCCTGCCCTTCCCTCCAGCCCTGCTATGGCAGGAGGTCTTGGGAAGGGAGGAGGAGTGGGTGGTTCTTGTCCTTTTTCACAGCCCCTTTCCCCCACCCCTACTCCCCGCCCACCCTATTCTCTCAGGGACTTTGAATCCTTATTGAATCTGATGGACCGTTTTCAATAACTGCTTCCCCCAGGGGAGCAAAGCCCAGAACAACAGGGGGAGAAGTGTGGAGGGGCCCTGGTGGGGGGCGGGAGGCCCAACCCCGAGCAGAGGGCTCTTGGCTGAAAGAGGCATCATCGGGACAGACATCCTCCGAAGCACTGGGACATTTTGTGTGGGCGTGGGTGGCCCTCAGTGCCCTGCAGGTGGCACACTGGCTGGTGAGGTCAGCCCTCTGTTGGGGCGTCACCAGTCTGGCCAGGTGCCGGAGCCAGCCTGTGCCAGGCCCAGCCCGGGTGCCCGCCTGCCTTGCCAGGGAACCCCAGCCGGTGGTGCCAGGCGGATGGTGCCAACTCCATGGACATGGAAGTCCCTGACCTTCCAGGCAGCAGGGGCAGCCGTGCTGGGCCCTGTCCAGCTCGTGTCTGGAGGGCAGGGCTTTGGTCTCACCCAGCAGAATTCTCCGAGGGCTGGACCAGAGTTGGCAGACAGCGTGGGGCCTGTAGAAGGGGCTGGACGGCGCCCAGAGCCTGCGCCTGGGATTCTGGACCCAGTGGGTTGGAAGGTGGGTGGCAGGTGGGGTCTGCTCTGGGGGGCTCTGCAGCTTCCACCTGGAAGGGCCCTTGGGAAGAGGTGTGTCTGGGCTGGGAGCCGGCGTGTATCATCTCGAGCCAGGGTGTCTGGGGAGTTGACGTTTTTGCATGATTAGTGTGCAGACCACGGCGGCAGTGGGAAGGGGTGGGCCAGCGTGGTGTGTCCCTGCGTGCGTGTGCGGGTGGCAGCTGGACCTAGTGCCCTGCCCGCTGTAAACAGCAGCTAATGAGTGTATTTGTAGCACCGTGTGTTGAGGTGCATGGGGAGCAGTGGCGGAAAGTGCTGGGGGAGGGCGCCTCCCCTGGCCCTGTACACAGGCAGGGCCCGTGCCCTCCAGGGGCCCTGCCTGCCCCTGCCACACCCTCCCACCTGCTGACTTGGCTGCCTCTGAGGCCTCCATCTGCTGGGAGCAGGGCCTCACCTGGCCTTTCGGCAGGGCTGGGTGGAGGTGCTGCAGCTTTGGCATTTTCTCTCTCTCTCTCTCTCTCTCTCTCTCTGTCTCTGTGTGTGTGTGTGTGTGTGTGTGTGTGTAACTGGGTACATCTGTGTGTTTGTGACTTT